AAAGCAATTATTTTAAAAGAATTACCAAGTAATTGAAGCCTATCAGTGTTCACACTTTTGGAACTTTTATCCTTTCCTGCCAGACCTTGAAGTTTGTCAGATTTTGCTGAGACCTTCATATTAGTGAACATCTGGAGCATGTCATAGTTTGGTCTTATTTTTTGCCTAAGAGTTTCTTTGTGGATTTGCCTCCCACAACACATATGGTTTATTTCTTATGTTTATCCTTAGCTTGGCAGGGATTTTTGGTGGCATGTCTCTTTTCATCTCTACTTTTTAAAGGAGTGATCTTGCATAAATTATTATCTTTTTAGGTGTGAATTATGAAAGTGCTTTTTTTCATGTGTTCCTTACAGACTATGAAAAATGCCTGCTCTTACATTTTCTTCTTGTAAATTATATCTTATTACAAGAAATATAATTTCTTCTATACTCTATGTTTTTCAACTTAATTCTGTTTTTGACAGTTCTTCATCAGCAATTGTTTAGACTATGTCTCACCATTTTTATATATGAAACTCTACTTAATGTAATCTAGTTTATTTGAGCTTATATGAAAATAATTACGTCATTTTTTGGAATATAGTTTATGAAATAATGTATAGATATGTGTTTTCTTTCCACACACATCTCCAAGCTTGAAAATGCTAACTTGGAAAACCAAGTACAAGTGAGTACCTAGTACAGAAAAACTGGCTAACTCACTTTTAGAATACATCCTTTGGGGTGATGATGGTAGACAGTAGCCCTTAAAATTAGAAATTAAAAGTTGACCTAATTAGAAATTATGATAAATGTGTTGGTATCCTAATTGAATGGAGTTTTATGAGAGGATAAAAGATAAACTCTAAGTTCTTTATCTTTAACTGGGTGTCCCATAGAATTTATCTGGAGAATTTTTATGGGAAAAGGCATGTAGAAAAGTGCTCAAATGAATAATATGACTGAAATAATTGTCATTGTTACAATTTAGAATTTTTGAAATTTTCTTATATACTCCTTTAACTTGATATTCTTAAATTAGTACATCTAGATATATGTACCAAGTAAATAAAAAATATAACATATACTAGGAAGTAGCAATTTAATCAAAAGTATTTATAAAGTTGATATAGCTGTATACTTTTATCAAAATACCATTTTGAAGTTTGCTTCACAAAATAATTCATTTCAAATTATAAATTGAACATAACAAAATCAAATTAAAATAAAAAACAGGCTTTATAAATACATATATAATTCAAAAAGTTTTTATTTTGGTTATATAATCAAATATGTGAAGAAACCTCATTTGTATCAATTAAAATATTGTTTTTTGGCCTGAATTCAACTTAAGAAAGATGCATAACGAAATCAGTACTTTTTCTTTGATTATGTTTTTTGTTGTAAGAGGTAAATTATAGACATCGCTTTGAGTGTTTTATAACTGAACACTTGACCAACATTTCATATTAATTAATATCTTATAATATCATATATAACCAAGTGCCCAAGTTAACAATTGCTTTTCTAAATATACATTGTTTTCAGATGATTAAACTAAAATAATGCTTATTGCATTGGTAATTTATTAAAAGTTTTATATATTACTTACTTTCACTATATGATGCAACATGTTGAAAACAGGTTCTGTTCTAATTGGATCAAATACAAAGATTTTAATCTGATGCTTAAAACTTGCTAAATATTAAATCTAGATAAGCCATTTATGGTATTTCTCTCCTGCAGAGCTGGGATAATGAAACTGTTCTGCTTCATATAAGGAGGTCAAATGAGGTCATGGACATACCTTGAGCATCATGAAGTGATATAAAAAATTTAATATACTTTCATCAAACAGAAGCTTTAGTAAAGCTTTATTACACTTCTGCTTCTATTGATTTTATTTACTATTATATTAAACTAGAGGCCCGGTGCATGGATTCATGCACTGGTGGGGTGCATTGCCTGCAGGGATCAGCTCACTGTGGGAGTGCTGCTCATTTTGGTCAGCCGCTCATCTTGGTTGTTCCACCATTCGATCACTGGGCATACACACACACACACACACACACACACACACACACACATATATAATACAATGCAATATATATTAAAGTTTCTATTGTTAGATTTAATATACTGATGTTAATCAGATAATTTTATAAAAACATAAACATTTCTTGTAAACAAGTTAAAATATTACTTCTCAATGTTAAATATAGAGCTACCTGATATTACATAATTTTAGTAAACACTGTCTAATGATAAAGAGGAGCTTAGAAAGAGATCAGTATGGAAAAAATTTCAGATTATATTCCAATCTCCATTTAGGGTAACAGGATATGTTACTTTTTGAAAGATTAGGGATTTTTAAATTTAGGGTATTTATTGTGTTTTTTTTTTTAATTTTAGAGGGTTTAAAAAGTTAAAGGAGAAACCTTAATAGTGACAAGTTTCTAATATTAATGACTAGACTATTGTTTTGATAAAAATGTAATAATATTGGGATGAATATTTACTCAAACTTTTCTGAGTGAATATATTTAATAATTGTAAGAATTCAACATACTCTTTGATAGTACACTTTTCCATATGGATACCAGATTTTACTTTTTATGTAGTATAATATTCATTAGGTAATAATTTAACCTTCTTCCCAAACCAAATAAAATGTAACTATTTTCAACAAACATACCACGAGGGTCAAAAGTAATGCAAGAAGAAAATGAATAATGTTTCTGAAATTGGTAAATGCCAATAATGCACATTTGAACACAGATGTACCATTTTAATTCAGTATTTAAATTCAAATAGAATTTATTGAATGGTATATTGAGACCAATGTTAATTTGTTTATCAGCAATTTAAAACACTGCATGAAAAATATTTAAAGATTAATAAAACTGTCTTTTAAATTCAAAGATGCAAACCTCCTAAAAATTGAGGCATATTAACAAAAAATCCTAAAGTAGAAAAGCTGTGTTTAGACACACAACTTTGACTAAAAATGCTTAAGCTTCTATAAATGTATTTATATAAAAAAAGGGTTAAAACATTATAAACTGGGCTACACAAAAGACATGGATTTTTAAAAATGTATTTACTTGAGGTATAATGTTTCAGCAAAATGTACAAAGTAAGGATGAAAGTTGAGACTTTAAAACTACCCAAGTTGTGATGATTTGAGTACATTTATAAAAACTTGTACGTAGGCACTGTATAAATAAACAGTGTGTCTACAAGTATAATGTTTACATTAAAAGAAATAAAATACATTCTCTTGTTATATGAGAAAACTTTGACAGTTTAATATAATGGTGATGTGGAGTTGACAAATTCAAGATGTGGCTAAGGCCTCCTCACTTTTTAAAAACTTGTTTTTTGCGTGTGTGTAAAAATAAGTCTTAGCTTGTCAGCTATATATGCTAAACTCACTTGCATCATTGTTTAGCCCTGAAATACTCCATCTAGGGTTAACCATGAACAAATACAAGTTTCATATTTTAATATATTTGATGAAGTCTTTTTAAACCAAAGAAACTATTTGCAAATTAGCAAGGTGATGGTGGGAACCTCTGGCTGAGTATTCTAATACTAGATGAGTGAGGTAATGCTGAAGGAAAGTGAACTGTAGGAGAAATTATCTGTGGAATTGTTAGAGCACAGAGGGGTCAACCTGATGAAGCTGTCTTCTCCCAGCCACTCCTCCGTGAAATCCCCAAGTCCAGCTGAAGCGTGGTCAGTTGACCTAGAGAGGAGATCATGGCATAAAGATTAAGTTTGAAGGTGGTTGCGGGCACACTGTCTAGTGAGGACATCAGCTGAGTCGACATAAAAGAGGTCAGCATTACGGGGTAAGGTAGGAAAGAAAGCAAAGTGGGTAGGGGTGGAAGGAAGTAGAGTGCATGACAACATGTGCCAGGTGAGAATGCGTGATACAAATAGAGGGCACTAAACCCAACTCCAGGAAAAAAAGAAAAAATGCACCATTTGACTCATAATAGTGGGGCGTTTTACTTTTCTTGATGAACCGCATGCTCCATCCGTTTGGAATATTTGTTCCCAGGATGAAAGCACTTTTCATGCCTCTTCTCCATCCTCCTTATTTTGTCTATTCAGATCTCCCTTCTTCTATTCATCTGGACAAATCTGTCTTATATTTCAATGTATAGTTTGCATATTATTTCTTTTCTGCCTGTGTGTGCTTGCATGTTTGAAATGAAAATCAAGCTCTTTTCTTGGTCAGGTTGACTGTAAAAATGGTCATATGATATGAGGCATGATTTCTGTGGCTTCTTTCTCTTTCATTTATAGCTCCTCTTAATATATTAACTCAACAAATGTATGTTTCTTTAAGTATAAGAAAATTGTTATAAATAAAATAATATGATTTTGCAGACTTTTTGAAAGAGAATGTTTTCTTCTTCATGGAAACATGTTATTTTGTAAATATAAACATTGATTTTTTAAAATAATTACTACAAAGTTAAAATAGAAAGGATGGCTGTCTTTGGCATTAGGCCAGTTATATTTAACACCTTATGACTCACTAAGCCATGAAACTTGCAAGATTTCCATTAAAGTGAAATCAAATTGTGTGTAAAAAGTGAATTCATAAAACAAAGATTTCAAAATATTATGCTATTCACTCCATGTTAATTCTCGCTTATAACCTTCAGGATCATCGATTTCAATAACAAATTTGCAGACATCATTGTAGGTCCTGAATAAAACCAAAATGATTATGATAATGACACCTTGTAGAGTTTCATCCCCATATTTTCTCTTTAGGCATGACATAAAAATAACAATATTTAATTTAAAGGCCATAACATTTCACATCATCACCATAAGTATAGAATCCAGTTCGCAGATGACCACAATGCGGAAATCTGAGAGCTGATTATGTAGCCACCTGACTGGGTCTCCACATTTCCTAAACTTTATGTTCCTTGACATCATATGCTGGAGGGGATAGTAAAGACATCTGAATTCAAATGTTTTGAAGAAATGTGTATTTAGCAACTGAATACATGCCGAAAGGAATAATTTACAGCAGCAGTTTCATTACATTTTCTTTCCAGTTTTGTAGTTCCCATCTGAAATGCAATGATAAATACAGATATGGAACATGTGTACTACCTGGAAAAAAACATGCTTACTGAGTGGGCACACACCTCCTGCCCTTAAATAGCACTTAAACCACCTTGTCACCCAGGTGGGAATTCTGGCATTTTCGGGGGATGTTGAACACACTGAAATAGAGTACCTCTACAATGTTGCATTGTACACTCGTCTTCTTTTCAAAATTATTTACATCTCTTTGCCTAATGTGTAGGTAGCAAAAATATTAAGCACATACCATTGAAAATCACTAAGTAATACATAAAAAGTACTATTAAATGTGCATTTACATGCATTTACATTTTACATTTCATTTCAACTGGGCCATAATTCTCTGCTGCAATGTACACTTTGCCTACCTTAAGACTGCCATCATAATTTGCTTAAGGACACAGGAGTCTCTTAACTTGTTTTCAACTCTGATGATCCATGCATATATCAGTCTATCGAGCTAAATTGAATGGGACATTATTTTTCGTGCAACCTGTCCCCTGTCAGTACACATTGGCAGAAGACTGTAACTGTAATAAGAGTTATTTACCTGCAAGTTATAGCCATAATTTTCTTTGAAAACTTAGACCTGATGGTTTATAAAGACATGCCAGTAGATTTGTTAGTTTTTATTTCTTTTGAAGTCTAGACTTTCTTTCCATGGGTATTTCACAATGCTAAACAAAATACATTTAGATATTGGAAGACATCCTGAAATTATTATCTCTAGCCCTTCAAATCTTTTATTTTTGAAGACTAATAAGAAATAAGATACTTTTGTTATTGAGAATAAATTTGTTTCAGTTGCAAATATAGAGTGAAATGCAACACCGAATTTTAGTACAGTTAAGATACTATACAAAAATAAAAGAATGACCTATTTGTGGAATACTCTTTGTTCTTTGATTTACCTTTTACACTTTTTTTTCTATATATATGAGTGTGTTCTTCAAATAATTTAAAATTCAGATAGCATCAGAGGATGTACTTCTAAAAGTAATACTGTATTCATCAATGGAGCCTAAAATTGTTGAATATTTTTAGGCTTTCATTTGAAACAAGTGTCAACAAATTGTTTATTCAACATAATCATTAAAACTGTAACATGAGCTTCAATCTGTGAAAACTTTCAGCTGATAGAGAAATTTTAGAAAATTCACTGTAGTCGGAGGTGAGAAGTTAAAGCTGAGTTCATTAGAATCCCAAGGCAGAGTTAGAATTTCAGTGCTGCTTTCATTAAGTAGCAATAGGATGCTTCTTTTGCATTTTTGTGCATGTTGAAGGGCCTACAGAGGGATTTCTGGCAAGGGGAATGCAGTGCAAAAGAAATTACTGTAATGCTCATGGTTCTATGTGCCTTGAAGTCAATGACTCGCAAGGAATCATCTTAGGACAATAAAGCAGGCAAGTGCTTAGTTAATAATCATTACCTTATTTTATAAGTTGTTGCAAGAGACAAAGAGTTTTACATGTTTTAAGTGTGGATTGTGTCCTGGAAAAACAGTTTGTATAAAAGTCACTCCCACTGACATGAAAAGAATTAATGTTCTTTAGACATAACTGTATTAATGAGAAATAAGAGGCAGTTGATACAGACGTAAACAGAGTTAAGAAATTTGCTTTTAAGATAGTGTTCTTAATATTACTGATTTCTCTTTTAAAAAAATATTAGGTGGCACAGGTGTAATTCCTAATGGAATCATGAGAGAGAGAGAGTTCTTATGTCTCAAATATCATGCAGGGATTCAAGCTCAGAATTAAGAGACATTTTCTATTAATATTATATTAAGATAATGCTTATTAATTTTAAGAAATATGCAGCTCCTTTTCCCCTCATTTATTCATTAGATACAACAAAATGCATTTTTTTCTTCCCTTTTTGGGGGGATTAAATGCTCTGTTTTTCCAAGAACATTATGCAGGTTAAGATTAATTTAGATAATACTTAAAGAAGGAGACGTGTTATTTGTTTGAAATCCCAGAAAAATAAAACATAATTTATCCAGGTTTTAGGAATTAACTTCTAATGATGTGTATATATTTCTAAAACAGTATTATTGGCTATACTTCTTGCAGAACAGAAAACAAAATTTTGAAAAAGAAAGCAGCACAGAATTGGTATTTTTAAAGCAAAAACTATATAGCACAATAATTGTAAGACAAAAACCTACTCTAGCTTAGGAAAGAGCTAAATTTTACTGCATATTTGTCATGGTACATTTAAATTATAGTTTTAATAAAATACATCTTTAGATCAAAGCTGAAAGAAGACATCAGTAGTAGATCAGTGTATTCCATTTTTCTTCTGGATGATGGATGGTTTATGTTTTTCATATTTCCACAGACCATTTCATTCAGTATCATTTTACTCCTCCAGTACATATAAATGGGAGTGCTGGTAGACAGAAATATCCATGAATCCAACCACGTTTTGGAATATTCATCAGCTTAGTAAATCCATGCAGTTTATTTTAAAGTTTTAGTTAAATAAAATGGCTTTGCTGATGCAATTTTTCTTCTTTAGATGGCAATATGGCAAATGACATTTTTATTTCTCAGGCAAAGAAAGCAAAACCTGTACAGTGAAATCCCATAGACAACGTTAAGACTTATACAGGGAACATCTGTGTTCACCTGACCTCTATTACGTGTTGGCATTAGGAAGAAAGCCTGTTAGGAAAGTTACTCATGGACTTAATTTATAATTGGTGGAACTCAGTTGCATTTCCCACCGTTGTAAACATCCACATAATGCCATGAAAAAAGTTCATGTATATTGCATTTTTTCCAGTTACTGTCTTAAGCAAGTTTCTACTGGTTTGAGGTTTCTAGAGGTAATGAAACTCAGACACTTCTGGGTGCCCTCTCAAATTCGTGGGTCCTCCTGTTTCTACCTTTCTTATTTTCCTGTAAATGCTTCCATTTGTTACTGTTCCCTTGGGCGTGTCCTGGCCTTTGGCGACGTTGTTTTCGGTCCCTTTTCCAAACTTGTTCACAGAACTCATCCATTGTGTTCAGGTTGGGGTGGTTGATGAGCTGCATGAAGTCTCTGTACCAGACCTTCTGGCTGGGTGTCATGCTGTTGGACATTTCTTTGGTCTTAGGGCCATCTCCATGATCATCTTTATGAAGAAGTTCTTCCAGATGCTCTGTGTCAATGACTTCCAGGGTCACTTTAAGAAGAGTTTGCATGAATCCGTGTTCCACGGCATGACACAGGTAGTTGCCTGAATTCCTCCGCTGTAGACTACGCAGGAGAAGGCCTTGTTCTGTCCTGATGATATGATCGTCCACTCTAATCTAGCAGAAGGAACAAAAAGGCAGTAACATATATATGTATGTAAAAGAAATGTAATTTCTGAAACTCTATCTCTGTAAAAATTTAGATTACGTGTTGAGGCACATTGTAACACTTAAAGTTTCTAGCTTAAGAGATACGCTACCACTTTCCTATCAGAAAAAAGAGTTATAAATTTGTCAATTGTTTTTTAAGATGCATTGTAAAACACTGGCTCCCTATGGTTTTAATAAACTTTCTCATTGCAATAATTTAAAATACTCAAGGTAACGGGAGGGAAGTACAAATATATACTTTATTTTGTACATTTGAAAGAAGGCATATAAATATAGGAGAAAGTTAACGTTAACTATTGGAATTGGAAATGCAGAACCATGATAGTAGAAAACAATGCAGCATTAGAATGAGCATTTAGTAAGATTTGAAAAAAATAAAACACAAAAATTAGCAATGGAGCAAGTAGAAAAAGTGTAGGATTACAAGCTTAATAATTATTTATTCCATTTCCTAAGTCTCAGATGTGACATAACCATGCAGATATGCTCTTGAACTTATTTAATCTCACTTTTATTTTGAATACAATTTCTACCAGAGATGTCTAACAATAACAAACAAAACCAACCTTGACATTTGTGTGATGTGATTGCATACTTAAAGACTGCTTCAGATGTCAAAAAAGATAATGGGATAATTTTTGCCTTTGTATTCAGATTATGTTTATAAAATTGTCTGCACATAATACATTTAAAAATAACCTGCATAGTCTGGTTACCCTTATTTAATGCTCGTAGAAAGCTCAGAGTTCTCACTGATATTTTCTATGCACAATTCTTTGTTTTTACAGAGGAATAAATGTATCCATTGAGGAGGAAGCTCTGTCTGATGCTATATGCCAAGTTCATATGAGAGTTCATACTGGGACCTTACATACTTCATTATAAATCTACTACTCCCTTTCCCAAACCTGCATTTCCCATTGGAGGTGGAAGTTAATGAAGAAAACACACACACACACACACACACACACACACACACACATATTTAGATAGCAGAATTAATTGAACAAAAATTAAAATTACTAGGGGGATTTGTTTTTTCCCAGTGATCGGCAAACTCATTAGTCAACAGAGCCAAATATCAACAGAGCCAAATTTTTTAAACTTAAACTATATAGGTAGGTACATTTTATTAACTTAATTAGGGTACTCCTAAGGCTTAGGAAGAGCCACACTCAAGGGGCCAAAGGGCTGCATGTGGCTCGCGAGCTGCAGTTTACCGACCACGGCAACAAATATACATAACTGCTTTGTAGATAACTACAGAAAGAAGAAAGAAGATTCTAAAATATATCCACAAATGGCTTTTGAGACAAAACTTACATTTGTTTCTCCAACTCCTAGCACAAAGCCTGCAATATAATCAGCCTTCAATGAGTACTTATTTAATGAATGAGCTATTATTGAGTGAAGAAAAGGATAAAGATGCACAGCACTCCCCCTCTCAATATCCACTCGGTTTCATTGCTATACCTCTTCTTTTCGCTCTTCATTTCGCCTCTGGAACTGCCAATAGACCAGAGCTCGCTGTGACTTTGGGCTGCATTCCAGGAACGTGCTGCTGTTTTCTACCCCGTAGATGATTCTTTCTTCAAGGCTGTGGCCATGGTGCTTATCTGTTCAGGGAGGAAGAAATGAAATGAGAAATGTTGGAGAAATCAACTCAACTTTTCAATGTATTTACTTATTTGGAAATTCAAGAGACAAATTTATTGCCAAGTTGGGAGTCTTTTTCAAATTGATTGTGGATGGCAGAAATGTCAAGGATGTAAAGTTTCAGAACCCAAGTGCTTATCAAAATAGACATTACTTTGGTATGGATTATATAAGCCACATGCAGATATTTGTCTACCAGAAAATAGCATGACAACAACAAAATCTGTCATATGTGCAGTATAACTATACATTTTTAGATGCCATGATAACTCTCTCTAAGAAATGATTTTCACTGTAAAACTCTAGGCTCTGATCAGTTCATATTATAATACTTTCCATCAGTAAAGTTATTCAACTAGGCCTTTGAAAACAAGATTTTGCCTCTCCGTATTTGTTTTTTATCTTTAAAATTAAATTTACCAACCAATATTTATCTAGTATTTTACAAAAGGTAGAGTTCAGGAATTTTATATTCCCTGCCAATAACTCCCAAATAATCCACAGGTTTGTTCTGAAGATCAGTTGGTGTGAAATGGTTGGGATGGCTCAGAGGACAGATGCGCAATTCTGACGCCATGTGGTTTCAATTGTTCTTATTTTAAAATGACACATCTTTCAATATTTTTAAGAATCAGAGTAAAGATATGGCAAGAGTCGATAATAAAATGCAACAATAAGAAATCCTGTTTCCTGATTAAGTTTCTATTATTTTACCCTTTATGTAACCTCCTTCAATGTGGTAAATGAAACACAGTTAAGATCAAAAGTATGACACAGGGGGTGTAGGTAAAGCTCATTTAGAGTAAAAAAATCCTCCTTATTATCTTGTATAATCCTGTTTCCATTATGACATCCTGCACAGTCTGGAACTCATTATATTAACTTAGAAAATAATAAATATATTTTCATATGCATAGAGGGCTGACAGTAAGAGACAGATGAAAACTTTTCATTCCCTATTTCAAACTTAGCTAGATTTTTCATTTAAAAGTCTCCCCCCCCCCCGCCTCTTTTTTGGCATCACTTTGACAGTTTTACTCTCCTTATAATCAAAACGAGTACTTTTGTTTGTCAGGCACAATATGATTGTTCTCATTAGATGTAAAACTTTCCAAATCCCCCTTCCATCTAATCCCTGTGTACATGGCCGATGTCCACCATCTCTCAGTCTCACCCTGCCTAGAATCAACCTTCTGCCTCCATTTGCTATTTCCAGGAATGTCAACTTCAGTGCCTTTTCCTCTATAGATGGAGGTGTGAAATACAAGTTTTTTTAATATAGAGAAGTGTCTGTCCCTTCTTACTTAAAAGATCAACCCCTTAGAAATAGGAAAAAAAAAACAAGAAATGAATGAAATGTAAAGAAACAGAATTTAATCTATTTTAAGTCACTTTTTTCCATAGTGGAGATATATATCTTTTTCAATATCGACATTGAATATGGTAGTATTTTTTCACTGAAATTATTAGTGATTGAATAGATATGGCACACGTTGCTCTGTTAGTTTGTAAGACATCTGCTTCCCTGGATGGAGAGAAATTGAATCTCTCTGCTGGAAAGTCTTCTTTGATTCAGGAGCTACCACAAATCATTAAAATGCATTGTCACAGAGGTCAATACAGTTTACATGGAATATCTTTTTCCTGCTAATTGCTGTGCAGTTTAAACTTTTTTGGTTTAGAAATCCTTTAAGTTGGAATATTAGTCAGCCTTAACAAAGAAGGAAATCTGCAATAAGCAACAAATTAGATGGATCTTAAGGACATGCTAAGGGAAATAAGCCACTCACAGAAGAACAAATACTGTATGATCCTACTTATCAGTATACAAGGTATTTACAATAATCAAATTCCTAGAAGCTGAAAGTGGAATGGTGGTAGCCAGGGGTGGGAGGGAAGGGAGGTGTGGAGTTGCTATTCAATGAGTATATAGTTTCAGTTATGCAAGATGAATAAGATTTTGAGCCTGCTGTACAAAATTGTACTTATAATTAACAGTGCTGTACCACACACTTAAATTTTGTTAAAATGGTTAACTTTTGTTAAAATTTTGTTAAAATGGTTTCACACCAATAAAATTTAAAAGAGTAAAAAAAGAAAGTTTTAATTTAGTAAAAGAAATCATTTTACTTTTAGGAAGAGACTTTTCATCCCACTCTAAATATTCATGAAATCCTAAGATACATGACAGCATGACAACCCAGAAAAAAAGTCTACTAGATTCAGAAACAAACAAGGTGAGCCACTATCTTCTGGTTTACCAACCATGACTCCCAGGCCTTGTTGACTTGTCTCTCACCTAATGTATGTTACTATAAATAGCTATAGAAATATAAGGTATAAGGAAGTTATTGATTTCAAACAAAGAACTTTTTTAATACTTTCGTAGACTAGTTACCCCAAAGCTAAGACCAATGTAACTTGTATAATAAGAAAGAAGAGGCTTTACTATTAATATATTAGCAATTAGGTGCATTTAAAAAAATCACTAAGTTGTCTTCTCAATTAATTTAATCATACTATCTGGTCCATAAAGAGTTTTGGGGTAACCTTCCCAATAGTCCTGAGAAACCTGCTTAGTTTTCAGTTTCTCTCCAAGATCTCCCAGGTGATAGAAAACATTTTCTTTCTGGTGTAATTTTTTTAGGAATTATTTAGATTTTCATGAACAATTTAATTTTTAATGTACTTTGTGACTCATCAGTTGATCATATTTCCCCTTCTACATTGACCAAAAAAATCTTTTAGTAAAATTTATGTCTTACCCTTATAACTTCTTTTTTTAAATGTATTTTTATTAATTTCAGAGAGGAAGGAAGATGGAGAGAGAGATAGAAACATCAATGATGAGAGAGACTCATTGATCAGCTGCCTCCTGCCTACTGGGGATCAAGCCAGCAACCCAGGCATGTGCCTTGACTAGAATCAAACCTTGGACCCTTCAGTCTGCAGGCCAATGCTCTATCCACTCAGCCAAACCAGCGAGGGCCCTTATAACTTCTTGATATGTTTTTCCTGCATGACTGTTTTTGTTCTCTGTCAGCATACTTTCTTTACCTATGTGACATTATCACTATCTTTATCTTATATTTGTATTTAATCAAATAATTGCAAACTGTATGAAATCTATTAGTTTGTTTTACAATTATACATAACAAAATACTTATAACCCTTTAAAATATTTTCTTTCTTGTTCATAAAATATATCTACATAAAAATAACAGTATAATGTCTGAATACAGAAATAATCATAAATATGTAAGGTGGTATTATTGTCATGGTTGTTCTTTTAATATTTTGAACTGTTAATTCAAAAGTTAGAATATTTTATTGAGAATTCATACTAGATAAATTATGAACTCCTCCCCAACATCAATCTTGCTCCTCCACCATCAAAAAAGAAATTGTTTTCTCTTTTATGCTTCCTAGCATCTTGTTTTGCATATATCTTTACAGTTCTGTAGTTTATTTATTAGAATTAATTATTAATCTAGCTATCTTCCTCCAAACTATACATTCTATAAGACAGTCATTAACCCTTGGCTGAAGTTTGCTGAATGGCAAATCTAGGCAACTATTTACCCTGTATTTAAAGCTAAAATCTCATGGAACTTTGACATCCTCAAGACAGATTTACCATAGTTTTATTGAAAATAATTTAAAATGTAATCAATTAGAAAGGGCATAAGGTATATAACCCTGATTATGACAGAATGCATTGTTAAACATTTAAAATAGTCTAAATTTGTTAAGTTTTAGAATGTTACAACAGTTGATTTGAGATAATGTGAGAGAAAATGATGACTATTCAAGTATACTCCAGAATAAAAAAATTCCAAATATGGGATAATAAGAAGAGAAAGAAATTTGATAAATCAAAGAATACAGGCTAATATCTCCAGGGGCACCTAAATCTCTAAAGGATGTCCTTGCCAATGAGTTATCTTGTAGATTTCCAGAAAGAAAGTGATTTCATTGTAATCCATTTAGAAATACATTTCACACTTAGAAAGCAACTGTTTTGAATACAAACTTTTGTAATGAAAATTACCAGTAGACAAGAAGGGTATAGTTGTTAAATTTGCATAATGAATTCTCATGGGTTGAATTGAATATTTAGAGCAAAATAATTGAGAGAACAACAAACATTAAAATAATTTTAAATGCACCACAGTGTTTTTGAATAAAACAATGTTACAATATGTTGCAGCTGTTAATGACAAGAAATAATATTTTTAAGGAAGCAATCTTCAATTAATCATTTCCTCTTTTAGTGGAATAATTTATGGAAATGAAATGAGCCTAATAAACCAGAAAGAATGGGAGGAAAGAAAGAAGTTAAATAAATTGCTTCCTTTTGTAACAACAAAAAGTCATGATATCCATCATTTGGCCAGAAATATCATATTGCTAAAGGCCTTATTTAGTATTTGATTCTCTTCCAATAAAGCAGAAACAGAAGGCATCACATTTCAGCTTTCCATTTATTTCACTCTCCATTTTAACCCCATAAATGTCTTCCAAGATTGAAATGTTAATAATGTAAGAATCTTAAAAAATTGATGTCATGTAGAAAAGACAAAGTTGGGTGAGTTAATGAAATGTGTTTATTCAACTACTTGGTCACTGTTATCATTTTTGATGTTTTCCCAAGTTATGTTATTGAAAAGTTGAATTTCATAAATAATGAAAATACAACAATTTGGGGGAGGGGCAAATGGTTGTAAATTATTTTAAATATTTAGCAAATACAGTTAATAGCTGATGTACATAAAGATAAATCTAATTTTAGTTGCTTTTATCACATTGTAATTTTAATATTTTACTGTATAGATTTTTTTCTCAATAATATTTGCTTTAAAGTTCAAGCAAAGAAGGAAAATATTTTGTTTAAAATGCTCTTATTGGTATACAGATAGCTAGATGCATAAATAACAGATATGACCAGGGCATTTTAATT